CAAGCACCCACGCACGCGCACAAATCACGTAACTGTGCGTCCCGTCGAGGTCGTGCTTTGGCAGAGAACCTGGCTCGCAGTGTTTTTGTCAGCATATGACGACAGCAACAATAACGCTCCTCGTAATCAAAGTGAGACCAGGGCCTTGAAAGCAAACATAGCAGCAAAAACAGCACTGTACGGAACGCATCGAATAAAGTCAAACGCAGCCGCGGCAAATCAAATAACCACCTCGACCTACATGGCATCGGGGGGACACCTTTATCCGGGCAGCAGCCTCACAAAGCTCTGTTCTTGTACTTTTCAAAAGTAACCCTCCGAGCGGTCGGAGGTAAGTCGCGGTGAAGGCTGCTCACGAGCCATGCGTCATTCTCGGGCCCTCTGTGTCAAGGGGATTGCGTGGCGCGGCGTGCAGTCGCTGAAAGGTGAGACCCGAGCCGTGCTCCACTCGTTCATCCTCGGCGCTCCTCAAAAATGCGCTTCTTTTTTTTAGTTTTCGGCGTCAAACCGATTTTTTGTTCTCGTCTCAAACGTTCTGTCATTTGAGAAAAGGCCACGGCCTGGGGGGGGGGGGGGGCTGTAGCTTAAAAAAAGCGGTTGTAAGTGCGCATCAGAAGAAGAGAAAGTTGGGAGAGGAGAGGGGAGTTTTGCTGGCTCGCGCGTGTGGAAATGCCATTTTTTTGTGGCGCCACCGGTCCTATCTGAATCGTGTTGTTATTGGGCACGTGCAATCTTGAGGCTTACAAATATTTTTTCGGGGAGGTGCCGACGGTCGTCGAATTTCACATCGTGTCAGGGATTGGGCGTGGGGGGCTCCCCTAGAAGACGACATCGCAGAACTCGGGGGGGGGGGGCGGGGGGGGGCATTGCTGGACGACATTCCATCAGGCTCGGCAAAGAATGGTTTCACCTCGAAAAATGCAATAAGGTTTATCTCGCAGAAAAGTTGTGCCAATTTTAGTCAAAAGCGAAACATGTTTGCAATTATTTTTCGGCGCGGGGTGGGAGGGGTTGGGTGGGAGTTATTGAAGATCTGGCTGATACAACACGAATCGGGAAATTAGAGGGCCTGGTTTAATTACGAGAGGATGGAGCCAATGTTCAAGCCGATGATCCCAGTGGTGCTTGAATAGTGGCATTGATACAAAGCATTACGAGTCAATTCTTTGTTGGCTATTTTTGTACGTGAGAAAAACTGGGGTGCCCAGATAAGAAAATCCACGTGTACGATGGGATAGCGCGCACGCTTCGATATATACACGCGCGCAGCATGGGTCAAGCAGCCTACTTGCTGTCCTGCCACCTATTGGCCAGCTCGTGCACCTGCAGATGGGTGTCTCTCTCAGGCGACGGTCTCTGCACGACTCGCAAAATCCTGACTCGGGGGGTGTGGGGGGGTTCTTTTTAACATTTGTCGGCTTCTCCCTACTCTCCGTCTCCCGCCCTGAAGGTTGCGAATATGATTGATCTCGCGGACTTGGTGAAGCACGGCAAAGCGCAGTTTCCATCGGTCAGCGCGGCTGTAATTGTAACGAATGAGTGATGCAGGTTTAATTTGGTGCGAGGTTATTAATGAACACCTCCCTCTTCTGTTTCTATAGCCATACCGCAAGTGCCCCGTGGCGTCCCAAGGGGTTTCGCTCCGTCGTTGCCAAATTAAGTTTGACAAACCCTTGTCTTGGGCCCTGTTTTCCAGTAACTAATAATTAATCTTCTTGGTTCTATAAATCACTTAAGGTAAAGTCACGAAAGCTTTCAATCGAAATTTAATCATTTATCATGTCTCGGTGGATTGTGGGTAATTAATAAGCTCACAGGTATTAAGGGCTTGGCCTTAATCGCTGCAGATAAAGTAGCATTGATCGTTGGATTACATGTTACTTTAGTTTGGCATTGAAATGTACGGAATGCACGCCTTATCTGTTAATTATGAATAATACACTGCTAGTAATTTTCAGTCATTAATGGATCAAGGCCTTCCCACGCCGTCGCAAATCCTGGGAATTTGTGTTACCACATTTCTCACTGCTAGTTGGTGAAGTGGGGAGGGGCTGGAGGTGAGGGGTGAGGACTGGTTCTGATGTCACTTACCACTGATGTTAGCCGTGGCTGGGATTCAAGGTCAGGTCTGGGTCTGTCGTGCGGTGTGTTCACCACTGTGCCATTGTTACATCTCATACGCCGATAACTGGGGCACACATTCTGCATCCTGTTCTCCAGCCTTCGTTTAAACAACTTGTGTCTCGGCCGTCCGTATACATTTAAACAAACATAAACAAATATCTATCTATATTTGAGTTTCGCAAGAAAGAGGCACAGACTGAGAACGAGATTGATGCACGTGTCGACCCTGTCTCAGCGTTTGTTTTTCATTTCGTCGAAATTAATGTTCTCTCAGTCGCAGCTCTGAGATGTTGAGTCACAGGTTTCAAACTCTGCTCGGGCTTGTGGTTATTATTTCCCGGTGGGCTGCCAGAAACCTGCTCACTGTTTAAAAATTAACGACTTCAGGAATTTGTGAAATGTAAGCAAATAAGCGGTTGTGAGCGCGCCGGGTCTGTGAATATACGAGGGAGTTATTACGGCTGCAACGTTTAACACTTTTTTCTCTCGCTCCTAATAAGTTAATCTCTACCTCCTTGGACTTGTTTGTTTAAATAAAATTAAATAATTAAATGCTGTATAAATCACTTAAGGTAAAAAATACGTCTTCGTTGGCAGCAAAGGATGAGGACTAACAATCCCTTGCTGAAACTCGTCACTGCTCTGAGATCGCGATGTTAGCAGCCGATGTTGCCAGATGAAAAGTTTTACTCCTCTAAAAATCCAACGCTTGTGTTTTGGAATGTAAAGTCTTGCCCCTTCATCAATTAACTATGAAGTATTTTTATTTTAACAGGTAAGGCCCACTGAGTTATATAGATATTTTTTCAGAAGCGACCTGGCTACAAATGATAACTCAACGAAGTGTCTTATCATCGTGTGGAAATGTATATCAGCTGCCAAATACTCTAAATGAATAGAATGGGGTGGACACACACGTCTTGTTGGTGAACCTGCGACAATGGCAGAAATTCCACATTCCTATGGCGACGGGCAAATCCCCTGCATGGCATGAGCACTGTTGACTTCCAACGAAGGCGGGCCACTTTGACCCCTGACCTGAGCTTGAACCCACGCGATGCCACACGGACAGATGAACCCGACATCTCACCGTGGTCCTGGCGTAGCCCTCGACACAAGAACTAACCAGTTCCAGATGACGCAAAATGCCGCTGCCAAACTCCTCGTCTGAACCCCGCAACGAGTCCGCGTCTCCCCAATGCTCCGATCGCTCCGCTGGCTCCCAATGCAATCCCTGAACAATTTCAAGTTCGCACTCCTCGCCGTCTTCAACATCCTCCGTGGACTCGCCCCTGCCTGCTGTCTGCCTCTCCCCTCCCACCTCCAGCACTCGACTCCCCCTCCACGCGCTCTCCTGCCTCTCCCCTTCTCATGTCACTCTGCTCCCCTTCACGCACTTTCCACTCCAGCAAGCAAGGCTCTCTGTCGAAACCCTCTTGTCAACTTTTCGCTCCATGGGAGGTCGCTGATTCTCCTGTGCTGCTTCCAACGTCTGAAACTCCCTCCACGCAGCCAGCCATCCGTGCTGTTAACCCCCTGCCCCTGCATCAGGTTCAAGCTCATGGTCTTCCTTTTATATGTTTTGTCTTTCTATGACCGACCGCGTTCTCTCTGTAGGAATGAAATAATTGCCCGCCGTTTATGTGCAGCATCTTCAGATGCGGTCGCATGCAGGCGCAATGTAAATCTCAATTGTATTGTGTCGTATGTCAAGTCATGGGCACGTGATTATACGGTGAAAAATTGCAATAATGATATGGGATGACCGTTGTGTGCGTTTGTGATGAGAGCACCAGCGTACTTGTAATCTGTTGCACGTCCGCGTAAAGGACTTATTTGGAAGTAATCTCGTCCTTAGTAAGGGTTGGACAGTGCGCATATACAGGGATGTGAGCTCATTTGAGGACCGTTCCAGGTTAAATACGATTAAGCGCAGAATGAAACACATGGGGAACGGGGATTGCTTCAACTAAAGCGATGCCCCATGCACTCCAGACACGAGCACACTCTTGATTACTAAAAGCACGTTTCAGTTTCATGTATTAGGTATAACCCTGTGAGCCATGCGGCTCTTGACTGGGGTGCAACCGCAACAAACAAAAACATGAACAAGAAACATCTTAAAGTGACTACAGGCAACAGAAAAATCTAGGAAAAAACAGCAAAGTCTTCCAGAAAAAAACACCGTATTTCAACGCTGTGTGCAAAATTCCCAGTGGGATGCAAGTCAAACAATAACAACCATAAGACAATTTAGATTAAAGTTATCAGGCTAACTCTGTATTACAACAAACAAACATGGCTAAACCAAAACGTTTTCAAAATCACCAAAATAAATTGAACAATAAACGATATACATAACATGTACGACCAAACTTTGCAGCGACAAGTAGAAATAAATGGCAAAAAAAAAGTTCCCACCGCTGTCTATGGCTTTAAAAAAGAAAACGAGAAAAAAACCAGGAAGTGTTGGTGCAGTGCATTGCAAACTGCAGGATGAACCCAGCCACTCAAGTTCGATTCCCAGCCTGATCATGATAGTTGATGATCGTAACTCGTTCACCTCTGCTGCCCTCATAGTCTGGCAATCAGTCCTCCCAAGACACTCGTGCCGTTAACTCCCATGCCCCCGTTCAAGTCAAAGGCTCAAGGCTGTACTTTATTCCCCTCTTTCTCTCTAAAATAAACATGATCACGGTTTCTGTACAGCGCCTTGGGATGCGACCGCCCTTGGACAATGCATCAATCCAAATTACATTTTCGTCGCGTTGTCGTGTATTGACGAGGATGATGCAGAGATCAGGGTTCTCATTTTGCCGTGACTCCTCCGTTAAGTCACCTTGCTCCGTTTGCCGCATCTTTCCCCTCCTCCGCAGAGCCCAGAAGAGGATGAGGAGGAGGTGCGTCAGAAGCATCGGCCGGACGAGGAGGAAGCGACGCAGCACAATACCTTAATCAACGAGGTGAGCGGCTCATCCCACGCGAGTCCCATGACACAGCGAGCCCCCCAGGGTCTGCCATCATTCCGACGCTCTGTCCCACGACGCCCACTATGTGTTGCCCGATTGTCCTAAGCCGACACGTGTTCAGTGACTCCATCCTGACAGCAGAATCACATTACACCAACGGTGGAAACTTTAGTGTCCTCCTCCGTGATCTGCACCCGAACTCCCACCGCTTTGACTCATCCTGCTGGTACCGAAAAAGAAGTGGGCGGAATGTTGGTTCTTCATCGATCGTCCAGTTTTTTTCCCCGCAATAGGGCAAACGATGCCCTCCTGATTTGGGAGTCAGTAGATTCACTGCCGTCTCAGCCGTTTCAGTGAGGCGGATGTCAGGAGGTCCTGTGAACGGTATCACACGGTCCCCTTGCGTTTGCTCACACTCCCCTTTCCTGATGGATTTCATTATGCGTTTATAATTTATGTAATTCATTACCATTCTTTAGCTGCAGCCTTTAGGGCTTTCGTGGCTTAGTTGTGTTGCCCTCGCCGATGACGATACGCATCAAAGCATTCTATATTTGGGGGTATGGCTCACCGATAAGGCCCTGTAAGGTACCGTGTAACGTTATGGGCCCTCCTTGGTAATGTATGGCTCTGTCTTGTTGGCGGAAGGAGCGAGGTGGTACGGTGATTTGCACCGCCGCGCTATGAATCCTGTGAGCCGAGTTCGATTCTCGACTACGATTAACATCAGTGGCGGGTGAAACCAGGACCGCTACTGCCCTGCCTCCCCTTTGCCAACCAGTGTGGTGAAGTATGGTCAGTTGGTGGATTGAGAGTGGCTGGAATGTGTTAATTTGTTTAATATCTCGTTAATCAGACCTTATAAAGGTCAGATGTAGCCACATGTCTGTAGGCTACCCATAATATAATCCGTAATGGATTTTTTGGTTCGGCCCAAAAAATTGAGGCCTAAGCCAAAAATATATTGTGACTGAAACGGCCTTCGCGAATGTCCCCGTTGAGTGAGACTTACGCGCGATGGCCTCATTCGACGGACGTCAGCCAAAAGATTTAACGTAAGTCTGGACAAGTAAAACTTACCGTACATTTAAAATATACTTATTCATTTTATAATTTCCTAACCTCGCTGAAGCAGCGCTAGTATTTGATATACGGTATATATATAAATATACTCCACTCCTACCGATCTTCTAGCCAGCCGACAGGTCTCTAGCTCATTACCTGGGGCTGTGACGGTAATGGCTTTCGAGCTTGGGGGGGGGGGGGGGGGGGGTTCGTGACAAGTGTTTAGGATTCCCAGCCGGCTGATCAAGGGCACTTGGTGCGGCGTGCACGTGAGTGACAAAGGGGGGATTACGCCTCGGAGGGGGGGGCGGGAGTGTGATTTCCGGAGCTATTCCAGCGCTCGCAAAATAATCCCCATCTCTGACCCCCCCCCCCCAAAAAGGGTACTGAAGCGCAGAGAGGCTTTGGAGCTTTTGAATAGAGGCAGGGGCTGGCTGCTGCCAAGACTTAAATATTAAAATGCGCCACAGAATTTAAGGGCCCAGAAAGCAGAAAAAGGCACAATGTCCGTTTTTTTTCTTCCCACGAGGAGAGAGTGGGGGGGGGGGGGGTGATTCAGAGCCGTGTGCTAGGAAGCGGGATTTGTTTGGCTAGAGTTGGGTTTTTTTGCCCTTTCTGGGCAATGAATGAACAGAGTTGGTTGGTGGAGGGGGGGCGGCTACAGCACAAGACGGCGCACGAGAGCGCGCAAATGCGACTGTGAACACAATTGCACGCGAAGACGGAGACCACCTCTCGCCCCCCTCCCCAAGCCGTTGGGTTGTAAGGTCGTGTGCCAGTTAGCGAGCGCCTATTAGTGCCTGCGCGCTGCGTGCTTGGCCAGGATCGTGCGTCCCCTGATGTTTGTTACGGGTGTATGTCGCCAGGCTCTCAGTTCATGGCCAGGTCAAAGCGGGTACCGATTTCCAGAGCCGTGCTCTGTAGTACACCTGTGGATATATTTGATATCCGACCCTGTGCCAGGTATCGTACATATGTCGCCGGGCTTGCAGGACAGAGCCCGTCGCTAAGAGATCTCGACACCAAGACGCTGATTGTTCCACGTACACAAATGAGCACGTGCACCTTACGTACACAAAAAAATGCGGACACGGACACACACACGCACAAATAATCTCTACAAAGACAAAGGTCCCCCCCTATAGCCTTACCGGACTGCTGGGGCAAGTGCTGTTACGTGAGCAGTTCTTAGGGCAACCGTGTCACACACACGAAGGGGTGGTGTGGCCAGCACCACACTGGGTCTCTTTTTGTCTCCCAAGTGCGGATGTATACACAGGTTTCCCTCGCTCTACGCGGGGGGGGGGGGGGGGGGCAGTAGTCGCAGGAGTAGATGCGTCCCAAACAAAGTGCACACAAAGCGAAACTGCACGAGGCAGCTGCATGCCGAGTAGCACGCACGGAAGCACGGTGCACGGTGCACGGACACAATGTTGTCCCTCGTCTGACCGCATAGCCGCATGGATAGTGAATTTAAACCGCACACAGTGGAGCACATTTTGGGGTAGAAATAGGTTATAGCCGGATGTGCAGCGCGAAATAACACAAACCGAACCGGACTAAAGCGAGGGAAGCCTGCACACTCTACCGGGTTACTCATTTCAGGCTGACTTGACCGAGAAAAAGACCAGAGCTGGTTCAGATCTCCACCTGCCACTGACGTTCGCCATGGCCAGTGATTGAACTTAGGTTTGGAGTGCAGAACGCAAACCACCTGTGATCACCGTTTGTGCTAGGTGCACTTTGAGTTGGCGTGAAGAGTCACGGCGTCGCTGCGGCCGGAGATCGTGTTGTGTTGTGTGTTAACTGACTGAGATGACTGGCAGATGCACCACCTGAGCTCTCCACTGTGCCGCACGCATTGATAGGCATACACACACGCGCACACGCGCACCCCTTGCTCGTATAGACAGCACACGCGATCCAATCACACGCAACCACTTGAGCTTGTACAGCAGCCACACACAAAGAGAAAAAAAAACAACTAAAAATACATCATTCTCAATGTGCACACAGCTGGCTCTCGGCAAAGAAATAGATTTGATACAAAGGTGAATACACGTGACCAAAGACAAAGATCCCCCGTATAGCCTTAACATACCCATGGGGCAAGTGCTGTTAGCAAGAACCTACGAAAGGCCGGCACGGCACACGAAAGGGATGGTTGGCCAGCGCCATGCCCCGCCGCCTTTGTCTTTCCAGTGGCAATGTTTACACATTGCACAGGTTGCTCGGTTGTGGCTGAGTCGATCTAGGAGAGGTCCAGGACTGGTTCAGATAATCCTCACCGGTGTTGGCCGGTGAGTGGGAATCGAATTTGGATTGCCGGGTGTAAAAGTTGAGTTGGTTCCATTCATGAGAAAGTCTGGCCAATTTCCGACTGTACCGCTTCCTCCTGGTCACCTTGTAACACTGCGCATTCAGGAGTTTCCAAAATCTCTTCGTGATCTGTCAAAGCCTTTCCTACAAAGCGCCAGATGACGGGCATGATCCATCACGTGTGTGTGTGTAGGGCTATTTGTGCACGCGTAAGGGAGTGGCAGTGTAGCGGTGAGCACGCCGCACTACTGAGTCTCGAGTTCGATTACCGCTCATGGCCAACATCGGTGACGAATATCTGAACTGTTCCTAGAGCCTCCGCTAGGTCGACTCAGCCTAGATTGAGTACCCGGTGCGGTATGTATCCATCGGCAGTGGGGAGACAAAGGCAGCCAGGTGTGGTGTTGGCCACCCACCCTCGCCCTCGTGTGCCGTGCCGGCCTTAATAGGTGCTCGCTAACGCCATTTGTCCCAACAGTCCATCGAAGGCTATGTGGTGGGGGAGGGGTCTTTGTATGCATGTGTGTTTGCACGTGAAACTCCATCTCTAACGATACTCTTGTAAATGTCTCGCAATATAATCACATGCACGGAGTAGCCTTACATCGCAAGGTCTTTGGAATATAAGGACGTTTCCAAAGATCTAACAAGCATAATTGTCCGGCTTGCTTGCTAGCTAGCGTGTCTTTTTTACTATTAACATGGCGTTGTGTTTTTTTATTTGCTGCAAGGTGAATCATCGCACGCGGCATATTATTACGCGCAGATGTCATTGGCGTTGCTTGCCAAGGTTACAAGGGGTGATTTAGTGGCGTCGTGAGAATATTCCCGTGTTTTTTTCCCTGCAGCATTGCTTATGGCTCCAGAATATTGAGACACGCACCGTCCATGAAATGGCCGGTGCGTAATTGCTCGTCGTGCATGCGTAATTTTTTTTACGGCTTTCCCTTAATGTGTGCCTTTCCTTGCTGTCAAAACCTTTTTTTGCCTCGTTTGGAGTTCAGGTTTCATTAGCAACCATTGAATGCAGATTCGTGACTCACCGGTGTAGCGGTATTAAGATTCGCGACGCACCGGTGTAGCGGTATTAAGATTCGCGACGCACCGGTGTAGCGGTATTAAGATTCGTGACGCACCGGTACACTGGTATCTGTCGTAATTTAGATTTGACAACACGCAAAGACGTGCATTGGACGCATATGAGCTCTCAGCCTTATCCAGACCACCAGGTCAAAAGAACTGTGTACGTGGCTATTTTGTCGTCTGGACCACCATGTAAGAAAATGTGGCCACATCCCAACGGGCATCGGTGAACCAAAGACGCAACTGTAGACCGGATTGATCCTCATTAGGACCTATCAGTAGAGTACATCCACCACTTTTTTGCCGCTGCTACAATGCAAGTCATTCATTCTCTTGAACAGCCATTGCCTGACAAAATGTTCGCCATGTCTCCTAGTATGAATGCAGTGTTCGTGCTTTAATCATCTGCACTTTTATATCACTGCCACCGATCTCCCTCGGCTCCACTGCCTGGGAATACAATCTAATTCATATTCTTAGGTTTTTTCGGTAAAGTCACGTAGGTAAAAAATTAAAATTAATAAAAG